CATGGAGTGAGAGTGCCATAGAGGCCACATCAGAAAAGAGACATTGCAGCCAGACTCTCAGAAAGTCACTCCGCACAACCGCGGGAATGGGTTGACTGTGCGGTCTGAGTTATTCCGTCAGTTGGCAGTCCTCCAATCCACGGCTTTTCCCGCACCGTAGTAGCTTCAATCGCGTCCGATTGCGTGTAGTCGGGAACTTACGCTGTGCCACTGACCTCACCCTCCCTCTCTCTTTCCCCATTCATACTCCCTGTACCTGTCCGAACGAGTTATGTGAATTATGTGGGCGTCGATTACAGCTACAGTCACAACACATGCAAGTTCAGGCGTTTTATCATGACAGTTTTTGAAGAAATGGGATCAAAAGATGGAGGGGGCAAGCAGAGACCTCACGGGTAAAACTACCTTTGCGCTGGGCATAGGTGGTTGTTGTCGGCTAATAAACCAAGTTAACATTTTACTATAACAAACAAGGTTATGTGGGTGTTTGGTCCATAAACATAAAGGTGCGAGAATGATAAATGTTATATGGCGCTCGGAATAATTAACACTTACTTGTTCAGCATAGTCCACCCCGTTTGTTGATTGATTACATTCACTGAAGCCTCCTATGTTGCACACCTCTGTCTCAAAAGATGCCTTCTAGTCTCTTAGGTGTGCACTTTATTACCACCTGTGTTATGAAAATCCCCGCGTGGACACAATTATGAAACTTAGGTATAGGCCTAGGACTGTCGAGTAATCCGACGAGGGTATCCGTCTAACAGACGAAGATAACTAAAAGAGGACTAAACAGGATGATTCTTCATTTAAACTTGCTTTTAAATTGCCGATATGCCCTGGAAATGTTTGCAACCTTTACGGTGTCTTAATATATTAAGTATCCCTAGCTGACAAGTTAATTAGAAAAACTGGATATAATGAGTTTACACATGACCTGGAGATAAAATTTTGTAGTTTCAGCTTGTGCAACTACGAGTACGCTTGTTTGAAAACTACTTACTAAAACGGGACTTTCTATAACCCCAGCCTGTGAGATCTATGGATTCTGTTGTGGTCTATTTGGGTTCGCTTCCCTCAACACCGCGGCGATGATTTCCATTGATCGATATCTAGTTATTGTTCACTCACGTCAGCCAGCGGCAAGAACGAACCACCGACGCACCTCACTGATGATTGCAGTCGTATGGTTGTGGTCCCTCTTTTGGAGCTCTCCTCCATTCTACGGTTTCGGTAAGTTGTTATATGACTTAATATAAATATTTGTATCCCCAGTAGTAGGGCGCCAGTTTCTCTATGGAATAGAAGACGGACAGTATAGCATAGAATAAGTCTTTGCCCTTAACTGGAATGACTGATTTAAAATTAATGCAGAAGAAATGACACGCCATTGCCAAAACGTGACATTACACCATCATCCCTGGAACGCTCTTCGTGACATTATATTATTTTGCGGCCGTTGCGACGCAAATAATTGCCTTGGAATCGAATGCAAAGATCACCCACTATCGAACACTGTGTCGATACTGGTGTTTTTGTAACGGTTGAATAATTCGAGGGCAACGCACGCTGTCAAATGGGCAGAATGAAATAGCTTTCCGGTTATTTTAACGCTGGACAGAATTGTTAAACCTCGCACCACGCAGGCACTTGTAGATAACGTATGAAATCCATTCCACAGTAAATAAATTGGAAGACTAACAAAGGTTAAATATACAAGAGAATAATGAGGTCATGCACAAGCGATTGAGTTGGAATGGAACCTGGTTATGTCATATCAGTTAGACACCGTTGAGGATTGCACGCTCTCGGCAATTGTGAGCGACGAACAGTAGGTGAGAGGGAGGGAAGATGTCAGCGATAGGGAAGGAAGGAACACTGGT